AGAGGGAGGTGCAGCCCCAAAGCTGGGATGATAAGCAAGAAGCCTGTGTGATTCTGGAACCCACACAGCCCACTGAGAGAGCAGAGTTTTACTCCTAAATTGAGCAATGCTGTTGCTCTGCCGACTCAAACACACTTGCAATACTTCATGGCTTCCTTTGAGTTTCTAACAGTCTCCTGGGCCTTGACAGCACAGCAAACAGTGACTCATTAATCTGGCAAAGTACAACCATTGTGGGCTCCCTATTCAATTAGTTCTTCTTGCCTTTTCCCTAACCCTCCACTGAATTTTCCTTTATTTCACCCCTAAGCCCACACACGGACACAACATGCCAGTTTACTGCATTTACTGAAACTTTCAGAAAGCACTCTTTCAACATGCTTAATATGTCGTAAATTATCCTTACCACGTCGTGCTGTGTGTGTGTTTTGCGACAAGGAATGGAGTCCAAAAGGAGTCCAAAGCCAGTTAAACCAGAGAACCAAATCATTTCACATGAAAGGCTGTAGCTCCCCTCTCATTAACACAGTTCACAGCACAAGGGAGTTCAGCCTGGTTGGTTGATGGCTATGCAAACCACCCACTCGGGGGGGTAATCAGGCTCACGAAATGGATGTGCTTATAACGACTGTGAGAAACCTTTCTGGTGACCAAGAATATGGAAAGGAATTTTCTTTGAACTCCATTAGATCCTACCAGTACTTTGGTCAACATCAGTTATCCCGCTGTGCATGTGAAACTTCGTTATTGCCCTGCTCAACTTTCACTTAATCTTCCTGCGGTGCTGAAGAAGACAGGACATCTGGAACTGAAAACAATTATTCTTATCTCCTACTGCTTTCATAATTACATGAAGTTCCCATTTGAAGAGCTGCATTCCTTATGTGGACATGTGCTTTTAATTAGCAGAGGGATACACCACACCGCCAGAAGCCAAATCCTCAATCTTGCATAAGTTGGTTACAGAACCTCTGAATCTTTGGCCACCTTGGCAGCTTTCTGACCAAGCCAGGGGGAAACTTGGGAAAAAACTCCAGGCACTGTAATTTCACCACAACCAGGATTTGTGCTAGAGACTACTGCTGTAGAATCCAGCATAATAAACTAGATACCAAAGATACAAAATATTTAGTATCAGAAGGCAGAAAAACAGCAGAACTCCAGTTATTTTCTGAATCCTCTTCTATTTGGGTGGAATTCTGTTGAAATGAGATACCCAATACAGATACAGTCATAGTTTGGGGTTCAATTCAACTCTGTGAAGAAGACCTTTATAAACCACTTAAGACACCTTCTGACAGCTCAAGCAGTGCATGACTTGTGCTAGTTCTTTGCAAAAGAGGTGATTGTCACTCTGGAAGCCCCTTCCTGCCTAAATACATAGGAAAAAAAAATATATAAAATGTATAAAGATTTTTGGCGTGTTAGACAGGCTGGATTTTCTGCATATTCTAAAAATGTTGAAAAAACAGATTTTCCTTTGACTTACAGAAGAGATGAGAATACAGAGTGGCTTAGACACGCATGGCTGCAGTGGGAGATGCTGTTGTCACTTCTCAGCTTTCTGGATTTAGAATTTTCTTCTTGAAAACTGCAAAAGTCATGAAAGAGTTTGTAAGAAAGGCTTTTACATAATGCAGTTGATAAAACAGCAGTAGCAGAAGCTTATAATTGCTTTGGCTGTGTATACTGGAAATACAAATGCGCATACTCTATAAACTGTGTGTTAGGACTGTTCAGCACTTTTGCAAAGTTTTTGGAGTGCGCTGAGTAAAATAGAATGACAACAATATATAAATGTCTGCACAGCAGCTGAATCCATCAAAATCCCACATCTTTAGTTCATCTTCAAGAATTTCTCAAAGTGCACCAGTGCCACACAGAGACAGATGCAGGAAAACACAATATAGCACTCTGCCACACACAGATACCCATATCCAAAACACACACTGAAAATCACCTGGGGCCTGAAACATCAGAATAGTGTTCACTGCTGTTCTCACTTCTGGCCATGTAGGATTTGCTGCTGGGGGAGTTGTCCAGTTTACTGGTTTGGTTCCACACCATAGAATTCAGTGGATTACTCAGCACTGATTTCAGTAGCAGGAAGGTTAGGTGTTAGGGTAGAATCAATACAGATTATTTCCTTTCTGAAAAACAGGTGGCTGACTTAGGTACATTAATCCCATTGATAGGCCAGATCAGCAAGTTTCCTTGAGGTGTCATTTCCCATGGAGAGCAGCAGCAGCTAAAGAGAATCATAAAATCACAGAATGGTTTGGGCTGGAAGGGACCTTAAAACTCATCTCATTCCAATGCCCTGACACAGGCAGGGACACTTTCGACTAGACTAGGTTGCTCAGAGCCCCATCCAACCTGGATTTGAACATTTCCAGGGATAAAATCAACACCTTCTCATACCAGGAGTTCAGTCTGGACCACCTGGATGAAAACCAGGTATCCGAACTGCTAGACCATATGGGAGACTATCCTAAAGCCTAAGAAATACTAAATAAGGGAGTCAAGTTGTGAGCACTTTTGAAACTCCCACTTTTTGCCCCAGAATAGTAACCCTCTATTTTTATTCAGTTAGTATTTAGATCCCTGATCCACGTGTGGGACTGGGTTGTGCTGTATCTTAGGCTGCCTTTGGTTGCTGTGATGAAGTTTGGGTTTGTGTTCCCAGACCCAGCTGCCCCAAAACAGTTGCTATCCCACTGTGTTGGAGCAGAGCTCTAGGAAGTCACTCTGAACTCACCCCAGCCTACAAGCCACACTACCAAGTAGTGCAGATACCAAAGGTCTTGGGTTCAAACTTTAGCTTATGTCCCTAAGCTAAGGGCAATACATGGACATACAAGTGACAAATAGCAACACTTACTTAAATGTACGTGAAAATAGAAAATAAATTCTCTTTTCAGAACTGTTTGTGCTTTCTCAGTAATCACCACTCCTTATTTACCAAGAAAAAAGGTCACATAGTAATGCCTTTTTTTGAAAGCTTTGGTCCCTGGAGTAGCCTCGTGAGATAAATCCTTTTTTCCATGAAAGTGCTGAGGGAGGAGGGAGTGGCCAGGCAGCTTTGCCAACTGACTGATGCCATGTAGACAACCATATAATGCAAAACAGTGACCCTAAAAAAATAGCCAACGTTGAGCTGTGATCACTTCAGTCCTTTTGCACAAACAAGGCTCCTTAAGGGATCAGGCAATCTCACAGGCACTTTTCCTTGCTGCATGTTAAACATCAGCTCGACTCACAACTCCTCCTGTTCCACACTGGGTCAGAGTCACCTCTGTGCAAACAAGAGCCCCGAGCTCTTTCAGTCTCACTGAGTCCTAGTTCAGAGCAGGAATGGGATGGAAAAGTGAGACAGCAATCTGATAAAATCTTTGAAAAGTAAAGAAATCTTTCTGCAAGATAAACTAAATCAGTCTCACCTACAGGCCATTGTCTCATATTCCATTTTAAAGACCAGCTCCTCAGTTGGGTGGGCAGCACAGCTGCACTGAAGGCAACTTAGCCAAGAATTTACTTGTAAGGCTTCAGCCCTAAGAAATGTATTGCCATGATATTTGCAGAACCAGCTGGGCAGACTGAGAGCAATTGCAGTTTACAAAGAACACAAACAAGCCAAAGTATTTATATGTACTCTATAAATATTAGTAATAAAAGGTCGTGACACATGTAAGCATACTACAAAACATAAAAGAACTGAAATGTTTGCCTAGCAGTTTCACTGGGGAGGTGAGAGCAGGTGAGGTATGAGCAGATATTTACCACCATTACTGATATTATTTTATAAAGATGCTGCAGGTCAAGTTGTGGCATCAAATTTACATTCTAGGGGGGAAGTTTGTGAGATACCATCTTGCCTTCTGCCAAAACTCTCCAAAAGTTTTCTGGACTGGGCAGGGATGACGGTCAGCCTGTACATCCAAAGCAGTCAGCCAGAAATCCCCATGCACTGCTTGCAAACCAATTGACTGGAACTGGAAAGGACAGCTGACATAAGTGAACTCTTTGTCAAAGAGCTCAGCCCCTTGGCAGGGAAGCTAAAAAACACTACATTATTCCAGCCTTGCACAGAGGTTACCACCAAGTACACTGGGCTAATGCTGCCAGTCAGTAGGTTTGATGACGTCCCATGGCTCAGTGTTTTATTCTGAAGACACAGTGTTCAGCAGGAAAATCTCACAGGAATTAGAAGAATAAAGCTGTAATGAAAAGGGATTTACAACTCCCAGGAGAAAACCGGCTTTAGCCAGTTACATTTTGAGGGCCTGATGCTTTGTCTGTGTGTGGCAGCCTCACACTGTTATAGGTGGTGTCACGCAGCAAGAGCCTAAGCGAGACGTGAGGTGTGTCCATCTCAGTGGATTCTTCCTGCCAGGGAGCTCAGCCCAGAGAGACTTTTCTGTCCCCTTCCATCCTGTGCACCCAGTGCATCCCAGATTGCCGTGGGCCAGAGCCCACTGCCCCCTCCTCTTTGCCGAGATGGCTGGGCCTCGGTGGGGTGTGCCAGGGTCACCCCTACCAACCAGCTACACAGCATTTGTGGGTTCTTTATATATTCCCATTCATACACTCCATAAGAACTGCTTTTTAGATGGTGAAAAAACACAAAAATGCAAAATAAAAATTAAAAAAATTATAAAAATACAAAAAATACACATGACCACAGTGTTCAAACTCTCTCCTTGGGGAACACCTGAAAGGAAAGGCCCTCACCATCACCGTCACAGAACCTGTTCCCGTTCCGGCACCAGGCTGATGACAAGCACATTTAAAGCCACCAGCCGAGCGGCTGAGACTCCGCAAGAGGCGGGAGCGCACGGAGCAACCCCGCAGGGCAGCGATGCTCCAAACCCGCATCCCCCGGCCCCGCGGGCTGTGCGGGGCGGGCGCGGGGCGGGGCGGCCCGGCCGTGGGCTGTGCCCGCCCGCCCGCCGGGGATGGAGGAACCGCCGGGGATGGAGGGGCCGCCGGGGATGGAGGAACCGCTGGGGATGGAGGCGCAGGAGCCGCTGCGCTTCTCGGAGGAGCAGTTCCGTGCCGCCTGCCGGGAGCTGGACCAGCCGGCGCCGGGCGCGGAGGGGCCGTGGCAGATGCTGGTGGAGACCATGGGCGTGCGGATCTACCGCCTGTTCCACGAGGTGCGCGGGCGGGCTCCCGGAGCGGGCCGGGGGGCGCTGGATGCCCGGGATGGGGGGCCCGGCACGTCCCCGGTGCCCCGCACAGGCCAGGCTGGCGCGGCCGGGCCGGGCTCGGTTTACGCCGGGCTCCCGGGAAGCGGCTTTGTGGGTAATGCCATTAACTGCTGATGGCAAAAGCTGCTCGGCCGCGGTGACCCCTCCGCCCGCGCAGGCTGCCGGGGAACCCGAGGCTTTGCAGGGCTGCGGACAGCTGGGGGCTGCAGGAATTCCCCGTTGGAAGGTGCTCTCGGCGGTCGGAGCAGCCGTGGGCCTGTCGAGGTGTTCGCTGTGCTCTCCCGAGCCCTCTCTATGTGGTGAGGGGAGCTCTGTCTCTGCACACCTGCTCCCGAGCATCTCCCGTGCCAGAGCATCCTCCTGGTCGCCAGGCTTCCGCCTCCCTTCCCGCCTCGCTCCGAAGCTCCCTTCACACTGATTTCCCACTATTCTCCCTCTAAAATCGGGAGGTAGTTCAGAAAGGGTTGAAATTAAATTCCACCCCTTTATGGGGGACTAACTTCAGTAGTTTAGGCTTCTGGAACTGACTTGTAAGTGATTGACAGTGAATGCTTTGTATTCTGATGCAGATTTATGATTTATGAATTACTTTTAAATCCATATATAAATGGATTAAATAATAACATATATTTATATAAGATACTATATAGTATATTTATATAATGAATTATGTAATATATTATATAATATATTGTACATGTTATATATACTATAAATATAAACTATATAATATAGATACATATATAATATATAATACTATATTATTATATTTATATAATACATATTGTATTTATACAATATATAAAAATAAATATTTATAATCTATATTTTTTTTAAATCTGTATATACATACCCTATTTCTGTAGCTCGGTGATCACAGTTTCCTCTCAGCTCCTTACAAACCTGAATTTCATGCTGCTCTTTGCGTGGCGACTTTGTATTCTGAAAAATCATTTCAGACATGGACATGTCAGCAAAACCAGCAAACATACAGGTCTGTGCAAAAGGCAAAGCAGGTGGGGAAAGCGTCTTTAAAAACACATCACTTCATAGACCTTGGAATTTTTTTGGTGATAAATGGTCCCTGTTTACCATGTGGATGTGGTAACTGGCAGTAGCAAGGCAAGCTTATCAATGAGTGCACACAGCACAGGCAAAGCTGGGGTGCCTGCCAGGTATCCATGCAGGAATTAATGTGCTGATGGAGTACAGGGTGCTGGGAGTGTTGCTTCTGAAGCTAAAAAACATTTAGAGGTCGTCTTTTTTTTTTTTTTTCCTGTTTTGTTTTGTTTTTTGAAAAGGGGTGTGTGTGTGTGTGTGTAGAAACATGCTCCCTTTGGAAGTACTGATGAAGTAAAAAGGTACTAGTGTAAGGGAAGGAACAGCCATTGTGCAGGGCAGGTCAGCCTGGCTGGGTTTAAACTTTCATGTATAGATCAAAAAGTCGAGAGGTTAAAGACTGAATCTTGCATTGTTTTTTGAAGATTTGCTTTCACAGCTCTTGAGCGTATTTGTAGTTTGTGCCCCACCTAACTTCCTTCAGCTGTTCTCCCTGATGCAGAGTGCTTCCCTTTCCTGTGTGACTTTTCCTCTCCCCATTCTGTTTCCACAGCAATCAGGACTTTATGAGTATAAAATCTTTGGTGGTCTTGCTGACTGTCCCCCAGAACTGTGTGCAGATGTCTACATGGACTTAGACTTCAGAAAACAGTGGGATCAGTATGTTAAAGGTAAGCTCATCTAGGCACTGTAAAAGCCAGCTTTAGTCCATGTGGATTCTTCCCACTAAAGCTTTCCTCAAAGGTATTTTGAAGTTGCTGCATCCAAAGACTTTGGGCCAGACTTCAATATCTTTTTGGGATAATGTTGCCCTCTGCAAATATACAAGTAAATACTGATATGGAACAGCTAATGTCTCAACAGCACGTCTTGCCTCTGGAATGAATTCTTTCCATGTTGGTCAAAGCATATAACTGGCATCACTGGTTATGCTGGAGCTCCTTGTAGCTTCTAATTGTTGTAATTCTTGGGTTAAATTTTAGCAGATGTTCCAGGGAGAAATGGAGATGGTACCTTCTGAACACCTTCACGTATCGCAGCAGAGCAGTGATCACAGAATACCAGGGGTGGGGAAGGGACCTCTGGGATCATCTGGTCCAACCTTCCTCAGCAAAAGACAAGATGACCCAGCACCCTGCTCAGCTGAGCCTTAAAAATGTCCAGTTTTGGGGAATCCACCACTTCCCTGGCAAGATTATTTCAATGGCTGATTGTTCTCATTGTGAAATATTTCCCTCTGGTTTGCATCAGTTTGAGGTGTGATGGAATGACTTTCCTGAAAGTATTGGTTGTTCTTGGCACCTTTTACCATCAGGAATGGGTGTATCGAGAGAATAGGTGGTGACTTTGGCTTTTACAGAGAAAGGAATAACTAATTTAGTTGTGTTTATTTAATGTTGTCTTTGGAAAAGGGCATTGAACCTGGATATCCATATGATGTTAAAACATCTTAAGTCAGCAGTTACAAGGTAAGGATTCAGCTGATGCAAGCATCCAGTAATCCATTTATTTTAAAGATGGGGAGCCTTTCCTTTTTAAGCCTGTGCTTGGAATCACTTCAAGCCAATAAAACTGAAACATGGTCAAAGTGTTTTGCTGAAAACAGAACGTGCTAAAACCCAAAGGATTGTTAAATGTTTTGCTTGTTAGGTTTGGGACAGTTCCATGATGAACCTTTACAGGTAATGCCTGTGACTGTATTGATACAGAGAACCACATTTGATTCGTGCCAGTACTTGGTCAAGTTTAAAGTGTAGTGTCTTCATCAATAAGTTTTATTTGTCAAAATGATCAGCAGCTTTCTTGTAGCAAAGGCCTCTTTGCCATTAAAGAAGCAAAAAGAGCCAGACTGGCACTCAACATTATCGTACTGGATGTAAAATATTATGTTGAGTTAATTTAGTAGTCCTGAAGTGCATTTAGGAGAACTCAATCTTTCTTAAACAAATACTTTTTTTTTTTTCAAATGACTTCTTAGAGATAAGAAAGGAAGCTGTTGGGGGAAGCTACACCCTTAAACTAAAAACTAGATAATGTTGCAGAGCTGACATTTATGTCCTTGCTGACCATGGTTTGTTCATCTGTGAATTTATACTTGTGCTTAAGTCCAGCGTTTCAAGAGTTAACATCTGGGAAGGGCATAAACATAACACAAAGCTTTCCTTCCAGCTTCAAAATTGCCACGAGCCCAACTGCTCTTTAACTGTACATATGATGAAATAGTGCCAGGTGGGACTTGGCTTACCTATCGTGTGCTTTTCCTGTAATTGTGAAGGTACAAAGGTAGATCAGTTAGGTAACAACAGTTTATCAGTGTCCTTAAAACAGTGTCTTAATGCCTTTGAAAAAGGAAAGTCCTGTGGTTAGAAATGAAAGCAAAGTGAATAATCCAATGCTCCAGTGACCTCTGGTGGAAAGCCTAATCCTGTGGGTTATTACAACACCAGGTGCTTCCAGTACTGTTCCAGCCTGGAGAAGAGGAGAAGCTGTTTTTGTGGGTGACAGCTGATTTCAGGACATCCTAACAGAAGCCTGGTTTGGAACATGTTATATAGGGAAAGAATCTCCCATCTGTGGCACTGTTCTTGCCTTGGCAGTGAGACTATCAGTCTGTTCTGGCCTTGTTTTCAAAAGCACTGAAAGGATGTGGGCATTAGCTCTGGAGGATATAGAGCCCCTCATTTGCCTGTCTGTACTGCTGTGAAATTCCTGATAGCTTTTGGAAGTTTCATTAATCCCTCATGTAAGACCTCTTGAGGTGTTAGAAAGCTGCACTCATCCTAGTTCCATGTTAACTCAGAATAATTTACAAGGGTAGTGACGTGCGAATTGTGCAGAATGTGCAAGGGAAAAGCTTTGAGATGGCAAGGCTTTGAATGAGCAAACTGCCTGGAAAGGAATTTCACTCTGCCTCCTCCAGAATTGTTCTGGGTAGATTTTTTTTCCCCACCAAGGAATCCAGTAGCCACAGGAAAACACACCACCTATTTTTGTATATTTGGTTCCTGAACAACCCTGCTACAGAACTTTTTAATGTCTTCTACTGCTACAACTTTACATACATATCAATTTTGACTTCAGGGTTGTGTGTAAAATGTGCTCATGTCAGAAATCGGAGCAGCTCTTGATGTCATCTCTAGTCCTGTTGCAGTAGAAATTAAAAATATCTCACAATCTTCCTCTTTCAACTGTAGAACTGTATGAGGAAACATATGATGGCGAAAAAGTAATCTACTGGGAAGTGAAGTACCCTTTCCCTCTGTCAAACAGAGATGTATCCTTTCAAGCTTTTGTTCCTCGGGCGGTTTTTGTTCCCTGGTCATCCAGGAATCCCAACAACGAGCTGACTCTACCACTCTGCTGCACTTGATCTGAGATCTTGCAGTCCTCATGTTACATGAATATGCACAGCGTGAGGAAGAGCGTGGGTGCCTCTTCCCACACACAGCCAGAGCTCACATAGCTGAGTTATTACTCGGCAGGATTGAATCCTGTAGAAGCACGAGCAGTAACTTGAAGGAGCTGCTGTTCGTGATGGAATTCACTTGTCAGTTTCTCACACATCAAGCTGACAGTGTTTTGACATTCCTCCTCAACTCTGAGCACAGTATGTCTACGTTCGGGAACGTCGGGAGATGGATGTGGATGGGAGGAAGATCTGGGTTGTGTTGGCTCAAAGTGTGTCTGTTCCTCAGTGCCCTGAAAAGCCCGGTATTATCAGAGTTAAAAGCTATAAACAAAGCATGGCAATTGAAAGTGATGGCAAGGCTGGATCTAAAGGTAAGAGGCCAAGACAATGTGTCACAAGTCATGTAGGCAGAGAATGTGTGGATTAGCAAAATGCATAGAGAAGGGGACTGGAAATTTTAAGCTGAAAACAGTTACTATGAAGTGAATACACTGAGCCTTGGGACCACTTTAAAATGAGTGTAACTTTTGAGAATGTCCAGTGCAGTGTGCCACTGTGAAGAATCTTTTATTCAACAGTTGGGCTGGGTAGTTAAGAATGGTTTACTGACCATTCTGTCCCTCCATCCCACCCCACCCTCAGCGTGCACTTCTTTTCCTGCCAGCCAGTTCAGTGGGGGAAAGTCTGCTGCAATCTGCTTAAGTCAGCAGTGATTGGAGTATCATGTTTGACAGATGTAGAGATGAAAGGATTTGCCTGGAGGTTTTCTGCTATCTGAGATTAGTCCTTTAAAGACGTTATTTTATAAAACAGGGTGCCTAAAATGCTTTGCAATAATGTTATGGCTCTGTCAGCTTCACTGGCAATGCTTCACAGTTGCTTCACATTCCACTACAGGACAAGTTGATTTTTTTGTGAAGAATTTAGAGCAGAACTGTTGTACTTGGTGCCTCAGTCCTGCACACCGACAGCTTCTGTTGTGGGGTGTTAGAGCTGGTACTCAGAGAACTTTCTAGTAACTTCTCTCTCCTCTGCAGTCTACATGTACTACTTTGATAATCCTGGTGGCATGATCCCATCGTGGCTGGTCAACTGGGCTGCCAAGGTAAGGGAAGGCTAACACACAGTGGTATTTGCTAATCCATTCCAAACAAGGGATTCACTGCATCCATACCCTTCTTCTGCATGCTGAGTAGAGTTATTTTTTCTGAAATGGATATATCCACCTCTCTGGCTCTTGCACAGTCCTGTTTTTAGAGTCTCACTATTGTCTACTCTCGTGACAGTAGTACTAATTTATTCTTTTCTTAATTCCTGACAAATTCCTTTGGTTAGCCAACCAGGTGGGTGAATTTCTGCAGCCAGATGAAAAAATCCATGAGCACACATGAATAGCCTAAAGACAAGCAAACTTCAATAATGCCATCTGTTCCCGAAGTATTAAAGGAATGGTTTGCTGCTTTGTACCAGATCTTAGAATTCTATCTTAGAACTGTATCTGTTTGGAGGCCTTGATGTATATAATGGGAATTCTCATCTTGCTTATAGTTCTTATTTATTGCATTATGTGAGAATGAACTTTTCCACTTTCCTCTTTACAGAGTGGTGTGCCTGCTTTCTTGAAGGATATACAAAAAGCTTGCCTTAATTATTCTAAGAGAACATAGCTCAAAATTGATCTTAATTCTTCAGTTCCAAGAGCTCTGCACTTACAGGAGTGGCTGTTATATCTTACACTGGATAAAATCTACCTCTAATATTGGAAAGAATTTTATTTTAGTTGGGTTATGCCTTGAGCTGTATTAGATTCTTTTTCCATCTCCAGCTGAGGAGCTGGGCACTGACGAGGTAACACCACCATCAGCTGCAGCTTGGGCTTGCTTGCATTTTTAAATTTCATGCTGATCTAAAGACTGAAACTGTAAATTTGGATGGTAATGCACTAAAAGCTCAACTGAGCAGAAAATCAAATTTCCAGCACCTTGGTGGGAGGTGGGGCAGGGAGTGCATAAAAGATGAGAGGACCTCAATCTCAGGGATTTAAAATATTCTGCATTGTTCCTGAATCTAATCCTGTTTCTGGGTAAATCTTGTAATGGGGTAGCTTTGTCTTGTTAAAAAACAAATGACTGAAATGATTGCCTTTTTACTTTGTGTGAATATTTGCTTCCAATAAATCATTATTTTATCCATGTTATTGTTCTGTCTGTTGTGTTTAAGAGTGGCCCTGCTGGGCAGGTCACAAATAACAGGTTGATATCATGGGCTGCTTTTTTTTTTTTTTTTTAAAGGGTTTTGAATGACTCACTTTTAATAGAACTAAGCAATAAAAACAAACAAATCTTTTTAGCAAGATTAGTTTTGCTAAATTATTTTTTTTCTACCACTCTTGCTTATAACTGCAGATTTAAGAGGAATCCAATAAAGTTGGTGTTTAAGCATCTTACTAATTATTCTCTGCACCTGCCAATGAGCATATTAATTAGGATTATATATGTGCACACGACAAGAGAATGTCATCTGTCTCTGTAGTTCAGTATTCCCTGCATGTTGAGAACTTGTCCATAAACAATTATTCTCCTCTGAAATCTGAATTATAAATGTATCCTGAAATCCTGCTGTGAGACAGGAACATTTTATGTGGGAACAACTCTCCACTGGAAACCTTAATTTCCAGAGTAAGAACTGCATCCTGTGAGTGTTTCAGTGGAATCTGTCACAATAACCAATTATGTTGAAAGGCCTTGAATATACGTAATAATTTTAGCCTTGTGGAAAATTTCCCACCTCCCTGCTGTGCAACATATTAAACTGAAAGCTGTTCCTACAGTGTAAGCACAAGTACCTGTAACACTGGTATTTAAGTGAGTTTGCCTTTATCTGTCTTCACTAGATTTCATGCAAATTTTTATATTTTTCTAAGGCCCATTTCATCACTGGAGGCACAAGAGATTCTCTGATGGACTTTGTGACACTGGAAGAGTCACTTTTTGCCCCAAGCTTAATTGTCTTATTATTCTTAATCTCTGGAAGAAACTCCTGAGAATTAATCATTTTAATGGATTGTATTGCTCCTGGAATGACAAGTTTGGGGTTTCTGCAGTTCTGCAATATGTGAGGCCAAGGATTACTTCTGTGCTGCACATACTTTGAGCAGATGCCTGCTGTGAAGTCACAAGGCTCATTGCATTTCTGCCTGAGCATGTCTGGAAAGGTCTGAAGTCTTTCCCTGTTTCACCTTGAGCTGTTGGGGGGGTTTGGCTTTTAATATTCCTAGTGCATATACATCTTCCAAAGCATGATAGAAATCAGGTGTAATTGGCTGGAAATGGATATTTCATATTCAACTGCAACTTGGAGTTATAGTTTAAGAGTAGGTTTTAAACATTTTTATTGAGACCAGGCTACTGCTGTGCATTTTAGAGTTAATGTGTTTTCTCAGCATGGAAGTCATATAATTGATTTGTACATTTGAGTGGATCCTGCAAAAAACCAAAATTGCCTGGGCAAGCCATTTACCCTGTGAAAGGCTCATGATGCTGTTCAACTATTCAAATTAAACCAAGCAGTAGGAACATTCCTCCAGCAGGAAATTACTGTGACACTGGAAGGGCCTTTTGGCTCAGAGTGTGAGGTGGGTATGTGAAAGAGAACATTGCCTTCCACTCATTTTTTTGCTTTTAACATGGGAATAAACTGACCCTTGATAACACTTGAGGTGTGGTTCTAGGAACCATGAAATTCAGAGCTTTATCACTGAATAACGAGCTTGATTAATTCACTACAATGACAGGCAGGCACGTCAGTAATTTAGAAAAATGACTTAAAAATCCATTTGGAACAACTTAGAGATTAAGAATAAACACGTAATCTGAGGATCCTTTCTGCCAGATCACCAAATGCAATTATAGGCATCACATTATAGAAATCATTCCCTTGCATAAAATGTGTTTCACAACTATGTGTTTAACCCGTCCTCTCTTTCAGACTAGTAACTCTCTATGCTCAATATCTTTGCTAGTAAGTTTGTTGTGAAAATATGGCCTGAGTAGAGAACTAATATTTTGTTCTTCACCTTTTTTCTCTAGTCAGTAGATTTCAGAGTATTTTATGCCAATAAAAAAGGAAGTTTTTTCCACAGTGGTCATTATCAGTAATGAACCACATTGCTTTGAGAGACTCTGAAATCTCCTTTCTTGGGGATACTCAAAGCTGAGGTGGACACAAGGCCCTGGGCAATTTATCTGACCTTGAAATTAAAGCCAGCTTTCAATTTGGTGCTGCACTGGGCTGTGGGTTGTACCAGATCATGAGATGATCCCATATGTCTCTTCCAAGCTGAATTATTATAAGAATTTTAATATAATTAAATCCAGGAGATTACAGTGTGAATCCTTCTGAGAAGGCAGCATTATTTTCTTTCCAAATGCTGTTATTTAACAGATGGACTTGAATTGAGATACAGTGAGATGCACAAGGGTATGAAAACCCTATAATCAAGGTCTGTATTAGAAACAGGTACATCCAAATTTCTGGGAAGATGCTTCTTGTAGGCTGCAGTATTGCTTTAGCTTGTTAATAGGTGAGAAATCTGGGGAATTTAAAATTAAATGAAAGCAGACTTTCTGAATTTTTGCTAATGAAGGTTAGTATCATAGTGATTGCATTATTCAGTGAAAACATGATGAGTATGTTTGGAAAAGGACAGCAGTACCAAGCAAACTGAGGCTGTGCTGCACACACAGAAGTGTTACTGGTGCCAGTTGTTACTGTTCATTTCCTATTGCATCCAGCAGCTGCAGATTGTATCTGAAAGGTTAAAAGCTGGGAAAAGGTCAACCAGGCAAGGCTGAGATGTAATGAAAAGAGAAGATGAAATGCAGATTTAGGATATCTAAGCATTCCACGATGATCCTCTGGCTTTACCTGAACTGTCATGGCACAGTTATTTTTAAGGCCAGAATGCTGAGCCAAGGGGCACTCGCTGAATTTTAGCTTTCTGCATGGTGAATTCTCTTTTTGTCAGATGGGAATATGTATTCAATCACATTTAATTAAAATTAAATTATTATTAAAGGATGTTTAGTGTTAGTAAGCAGAGTCTTCTTCACCAGATCTGGTGCTTGTTACCAGCCTAATTCAACATTTAGGAACAGAAGAAGAAGAACCTTTGTGTTGATTCTGCAGTGGCCTTTCCTCTCCCAGGTCCACTGATGGATATTTCCAATCAACATTTACTGCTGAATACAATGTCCTTTACTGTCACATGCCTTTCCCTTTCCCTTCCCCCTTCAATACTGTGTCAACATTTGGGATGAGCCCAAATCCTAGTGTGTGAACTGACCTTCTGACACCGTAGGCCAGTGAGCTACCAACCTGGCCATGCTTCCTGCTCTGCAGAGCAAGCACAAACATCTCTCCCAAGGATCTCCTTCTGCCCATCTATTCTTTTCGTACCTGTTGCTTTTTACTGTTTTATAAAAATCTTGCATGTGTATTTGATTGTGTTCCCAGAATATGTCCGTGGATCTCTTCATATGTATTTCTGCGGGAATTAGAATAATGTCCTTTGGAATCTGTAACTGTTGAAACAAGATAAATGAGGGGTAAGAATAAAAACTGGACTGAAAAGACAGTACAAAATATAAAACTATGTTGGTCAGCATTAAGCAGTATTCTGAAAACAGGATATGATTTTTGTTTAAAATGATGTAATAAAGTATATTCACTATATTTTATAATAAAACTTTTACCCACATTTCCATTTAAATGACAGGACATGTTTTTTTCAGGTACATTTGTCTTCTTTTTCATTCAGCAGAGACATATTTTGAAATATGCAAATTGCATATTTCGGTTTACTGGGCCAACTAATCAATGGACAAAAATGTTTGACAAAGTCCCAGTAAACAGGACTGTCTCTGACTTATAGAACTGCAAACCTGTGCTAGTTTAGCCCTGTTGCACTGATGGAAACACCGAGCTCTTGGAGCATTCTAGATAAGAAAACATCAACTTTTGCAAGTTTCCTGTTTTCTCCTGATATTTTGAAAGGTAAAAAAAAAACACCCCAAAACTGCACTGCTCCAGCCTTGCCTTGCACAGAGGCTCCACTCCAACAGTGTTTTCTTTGTTAGTAACTGTAAGTTCATTGCCCTACAGCAGCAAACAAGGAGGAAAACAAAGAAGATTCTTTTTTTTCCCTCCTCAGAATGGCAGTTTCAGTAACACACCGTCAGTGGTTTCCACAGCAGAGATCAAATGAGTGAAAGCCCAGTGCCAGCGAGGTCTATTTTTGGGACTGAAGCATCCACAGAGCTCCTCTGGTTCACTGGGGATATCAGAGGAAATTGCAAATACTGTAGAAGGCTGTTCTGATGTCATGTGCTTTTAGGTGGGTTAAAAGGACAAATACCGAGCCTTTCACTTTGTATTCATCTGCCAGTTGCTGTTTATTCAAGTCAAGTTTTGCTTTTGTCTACATCACCTACATTGTCCCTCAAACAGCAATTTTTTTTTCACGTACTAGTGAAATGTCACGGAGTAAAGTACATAAATAAGCAGCAAAATTAGTTCGGATTTTTCACTTGGTTTTTAAACATACATTAAAAACAGTTAATGGATTCATCCCAAATGCAAACACAAAGCTTTCCCCACCTCCTTTTCCTCCCACTTTTCAATGATTAATCATTAAAAATATGATGGGCTAGAGAAAGATGCAAAGAAAGGTACGTCAATGAGGAAAATAAATCTTCAAGTTTGGGGGGAAAATGGGAGCAATGCTCCAACTGTCATTGAAAAATAAGGAAAATACTATTTTTACTTTTGTGAAACAATTTAACATTTTTTTAACTACTAACAACAT